TTAAAACGGCCCGGGACAAATCGGCCTCGTCAAAACGGCCCGTTAATATGACCCCGTCAAATCGACCCCCGACAAATCGACCCAGTCAAAATAGCCCCGTCAAACGGTCCCCGACTTATAGGCTCCCGTCAAATGGGCTCCCGTTATATTTACTCGCGACATATAGGCTCCCTACACCCCCCCCCCCCGCCCCCGTGAAAGCAGCCTCCTCTTAGTTACCTCCCCTAAGTTTAAAATCGTTTCAAACTAAATTATCTGCCCCTAATAGCCGTCACTAAACCCAGTTCCACGAATGTAAACATTTAGCGTGAACCACAGCTCACCAGACCATTGGGGGGGGGGGTGGGGGTGGGGATGGGGGGTGGTATGGAGCTCGCTTACAACTTGTTTTCTAGCGTCTCCAAGAAGAGAACTATATATATAGATAGTCTACGGCCAGTGGATGCCATTTATCGTCCATAAAAAAACATTCAACTTTTGATATCCAAGTAAGAGTTTAAACTATACGATTACTATTATATGCTACATAAGTTAATAATAACAATGATAGAGTAAACATGCAACTAATTATGAATATACACACAATGAAATGCACTTTATTTTTGTAAATATGTAATACATTCTAGTTGGTTCACGCAAATATAAGCATATTTTAAAACGCTTAATCAGCCTTTGGTTTTGATAATTGATTCACACGTTTTTCTAGCTCTTTAGTACATGAAAACTTGTTTTTAAGTATGAAGTTTTTAGGGTCAGGTTTTAATGAATGATTTACTGTACGATTTATTGATTGAAAAAACTCTTATATAGTGTCTGATAAGTTGAATGTAATATATTTTACGTCATATTAACAAAGTTTTATCGTATTTCTTCTATGCATTACAAGTTATATCTTCTTCTTCTTCTTCGTTCTTAATTATTAGTGTTGAAGGGGATCGAGATTTGTCTGCCAGTGGGTTTGAACTTGAGACTTTGTTCGTATTTATCAACCATGAGCTTTTTGCCGACTCGACCACGCCTCCAACACAATTAAGCGTTAAGTGTCAACTGGTTATGCGCCATTGAGGCCATTGACTCCGATTTCAGCCTGCTTTTCTTTTTGGATTTGCTTCCATAGCCTTTGTCCAACCAAGAACAAACTACAAGGCAGCAGTTGTTTTAATTTTGGAGTTGTCTCTCCTAGAAGAGTGGCTGTCCCCAGCTAACGAGCCTCATCTACCCGAGGGTTCGAACTCGAGACTTTTCGGTTTAGCAACCATGAGCTTTACCGACTCAACCACGCCGGCCCCGCAAGTTATATGATATTCAATATTTTTCGAGAATCAATGTAGAGGTTTTTAATAAACATATACTTTTTCTGGTTTACCGAAAAACTTCTTTTACTTTTATAGACTTATTAGACGTTATCGGCAAGACGTTACTCTAATCATTTATATTATAGCCTTGGCCAAAAGTAAGTTAAAAAAATACATACGTTAGTTTGTTCACAGAATATTTTAAGAAAATTTCTAGAGCTTTACAGCGGGAGTGATCTTCCCTAAACTTTCTAGAATTCACTTATATAACACTACGGGGGATGGTAAGTCGGGATATCGAAATAATTTTAATTAATTTTCAATTACTTAATTTTTTCCCCCTTTTTATCCACATTATGTTATTGTGGTTGCATTTTTTTGTGTATTAAAATTAAAAGTTCACATTCTAGACGCAGTCATATCCCCTTTAATGGGTATAATTGAGACAAAAAAAGTTAATTTTTATTGATGATCACACTTATTTGAAAACAGTTTAGTATAACTTTTAAAGGAATTTTTCTTTAATCCCAATGTTTTCTCCGTTTATTTTTGCGTGTAGTAAAAAACAACGTTGAAAATTAAAAGTTTAATTTCCTGTTGTGGCTACGTCCCTTTAATAATTCAACTTGAAGATATCATTCGATAGTAATTAAAACTTACTTCTTCTATTTTGTTTAGAATAGATATCTTAGTTCTAAGCAATTTATTTACTAAATCATCTATTTAAATAATTCGCTTTAGAAGTTAGACTTTCCATTGTATCGTTTGATGTTTCTACACTCTCGTTTATCTGAGTGTCTGAATCGTTCAGCTCTAACGCTTTCATTATCAATATCCTCAGTGATTTTATGTGTGATTCATACTGTAGCTTGCTCTTATCTTCCAGCTTTTTCATACTTCTGTTTTGAATCTCAGTAAAGCTTTTTTTTTATATTCTCATTTGTAAGGTTTATAAATCCATCTTTAAATCCATCATATTTTTATAGAGAACGTGACTGTTTTAAGATTTCTTAGAGAAACACTGGATATCCAGCGGTACTAGTCGTGTGCTTTACCATACAGACACACTATTTCAGATCAGTAGGTTTCCTTAATAAGAGACCAATGTAATTACTCATATTTTAACTAGAGTCACATTGCACAAAAAAATGAACAGAAAAATTTTTAATAACAAGATTCTATGTAATGTTCTACTAAATAGGATAAAATAATAATCCTCTTTAAATTTGTAATAATACAGTACTCATATCTATACACAACCGCGTGGTAAGTAATATTATTTTATGTTTGCTTCTTAGGTATGCATTTGAATTTTACTGAATTACAATTTCAAAAAAAGATAAAATATGTTGTGTCGTTAAGAAGAATCTTATACATTTTAGAACACCTTAAATTAACTCGCAAAGATATTTTAAAATGTATTACCGATATTTAAAAGTACGAAAAAAATCATCTTGAATACGCAAGCAACAACTTAAAGCGTTATTTTCTAGAATAGAATCACTAGTTGTTTAAGCGTTCTTGTAGATGACGTCAAGCAGATTTGCGAAAACAAAAATTTCTTGTTGAAAATTTTAAACTTACACAGCTTACACAGGATGCAGAATGCAGGTTTAAGATTTTTTTATGAACATTTCGTTAACTTCAGGTGAATACATAATGTTTGCATTATATGCAAACGAAAACGTCAACAACATTGGCCTGAAAGCACCAAAATATTAAAAACTGAAGGGGCTAAAAACACCATGGGAATATGTTTCCATTTAAACGTTTGTTTAGAACACCTTTGTATACATTAAGCCCCGCGAGTGTAAGATTTGATAACCAGAGTTTTCCAGCTTATATTGAAGAAACAGAGGTTAATTAATTTTGTGTTCTGCACAGGTAGGCGAATGTACTACTTGATTTAACGCTCAATTTGCATCATCGGATTCGCATCTTTCTCAGATCTAAAGGGAACGGGAACGCTTGTATTATATATATATATATATATATATATTAGTAAATATATTTAAAAAAACCTCCTATAACCACACAAAGGAAGGCTTGATATACAAAATCAATTGGACGATATAATAAAGATGTATATAAATGCTTTCCATTAATTATGTCCTTGTAAACATACTAAACAACTACAAATATAAAATTAGGTAACTGAAAATTTCTCTGGGCTATGGTATGGTACACAAATAAACACTAAATTGTTAGCGGGAGATAACATTTAAAATAACCCACTTGATAAGTAAGAGTATGGTTTTAAACCTTGAACACAACAATTAAAGAATATTCAAATCTCAGTAATAAAATAAACCGGGAGTGATCTCCCCTAAACTTTCTCGAATATTCTTATATAACACTACGAGGGATGGCAACTCGGGATATAGACATGATTTTTTATTACTTAAACTTTTAAAAATAGAATAGAATTTCGTAGAAAAATAATTGCGCCCCAACCGAACGCAAAAACAAAATGTACATAATAGTGTGGAAAATTATTAGTACTCTATAAATTTACATTCGTTTTTTGAGAAATCGGAAACAGCGTAAACTACTACTTCTGGTCAACAAAAATTACTCAAAATTTGACAGAAGACAGATAATTACATCTTTTACTTACATGTGAAATTTCATTTATCTATCTGAATTCAAATTATAGGTTTTTGAAAAATTCAAAGTAGAAAAAATTCTAGTTCAGTTTATCGGAAATCGCTCAAAAGTTGAAACGGACCTACGATTTGATATTATACTTATATATGCAATGTCATCAACCTAGCTATAACGGTACTCGTGTTATCGTTTTTACACACATACACAGACAGACATACATACACACACAGACATACGGACAAGATTTCAAAACCATGTTTTTCCGACTCAGGGAGGTGGAAAACGTCGAGGTTTGCAAAAATCTCGATTTTTTTTCGCACGTTTACAAGACTTTCTCTATACTTCGTATATACGAGAAAGTAAAAATATTCAAAATTCAAGTTTTCTTTTGTACTGACATATACTTATATGTAATACTAGAGATTTCTTAATAAACAATATGCTCGATATGAAATATATTAGAATAACATTAACTACTTAAATATAGGATTTACTTAAATAATCACTTTATTCTACTACATGACCACAGAATGTACACATGTATAATACAAAGCTTTAAGGATCCCAAATTAACAGTTACCATCTACTTTATGTGATTTTGGATAGCATATATATCTTTCGAAAAACTATGGTAAAAAAATATTATTGAAAAAAGTGCACAAACATTACACAGGTTATTAGAGTTGAACTTCATATGATCCGAGTGAATGTCTAATTAAAGATATAGTAGTAGATGATGTGGTGATGTAATGTGTATAAAAAATGAATACGTGGAACGCATCACTGCGTGTGTGTATGTATCATGTAATGAGACGCGAGGCCGGGTGTGTTGACGTGTATGTTGTCGTACAGAGTGAACGAGGGTACAAGGGAGGCAACTGGTCGGGTGATAGTGGCTGTGTTGTCAGCGAGATAAAGGTGGTGTGTAGGGATGAATGCGGGGGACAGTTGAAGGTTGAGTGTCAAAGCAAGGAGGTGGATTTTGGGACTGGAGGACGGGAGATAGGAAAATAAAGAATACTTTAATAGCCTCAATCGTGTTGTGCATTCTTTGGGATCCAGAGGCCCTCACATATGACAACTGCACTACTAGTCTAGTTATGAATATGCAAGAAATAAATGACACCATCATAGTCGTTTTTTTCCTGTTTTAATGGCTAACACACACACAGTCAATCTATGAGGAATTACAATTCCAGATGAGTGTATATTTGGCTTTATTACATCATAATAGCAAAACAAACTCTGTTGTAGTTTTTAAAATTATTTTTTTCAAATAAAATGTTTGGTTTAATGTTCGTTATTTTTAAACTTCTTATGTATACTCACCATCAAGAAAATATTGCCTTAGTTAAATATTTAGATCTATTTATTTTAATTTTAATATATGTAATGTTGCTTATGTTCCTGAATATTATGTAAGTAATTTGATTGCTGTATATCCATTATGTTACCATAGCGTCGTTTTTAGGTTGTTTACATTCGACGAAGTTTCATCTCAACAATGTCTAGAGAGTCAGTCCAGCCTGTAGTGCTAGACCATTGAATTCCTTTCAAATCAACACGACTCGCCCATTCACCGTTGACGTTAACCCTGTAACAATTATGAAACCACCAACCACCACTCCTGCTTACAGCACAGTTGTCATTATACAACTCATCGTTATCAGAGTCAATGGTTGTAAACATCATGCCCTTGTGCTGACTAAACTCGTCTCTAACATTCCCTCCACTGAATGAACTGAAGCTCATCTTATACTTTGCTGCTTCATTTTCTATCTTAAAACCTCTGTACACAGCGTAGAAGTCGTTACCTTTATATTTCATGTCAAATCTGAGTTCATTATAACCCTGTGGTAGACAAAAAATAGAAATATTTAGATATTGCATTGTGTTTGAAATATTGTAAGTATTGATCTGCTAATAGTATATGATAATTATACATACTGCTAAAACATTACGATAATTAATAAACGAAATTTTCTAAAACACATTTACCATTTATGCAAATAATGATTGTCTGTGCAGTAGTTTTCTTCTTCTTCTTCGTTCTTAATTATTAGTGTTGAAGGGGGATCGAGATTTATCTGCCAGTAAGTTTGAACTCTAGACTTTGTTCGAATTTATCAACCATGAGCTTTTTGCTCACTCGACCACGCCTCCAACACAATTAAGCGTTACGTGTCAACGTTATGCGCCATTGAGGCCATTTGCTTCCATAGCCAACCAAGAACAAACTACAAGGCAGCAGTTGTTTAATTTTGGAGTTGTCTCCTCCTAGAACAGTGGCTGTCCCCATCTAACGAGCTTCATCTGCCCGAGGGTTCGAACTCGAGACTTTTTGGTTCAGCAACCATGAGCTTTACCGACTCGACCACGCCTTCATGTATCCCTTTTTACAACAAAAGACTTTTGTTGGAAAAGATTATATAACACTATTTCATGCTTACATTGCAGCTTAGCAATCTATCCCCTTAAGAGAAAAAGCATTTATATTCAATTAACGAGCGATTGGATGAATAGTGGTGACTGTTGTTTGTAAGAATACGTGAGAATAAAATGGTAATTTGGGATTCGAATAAGTCTACCTAAACAAAAAGTTTGGGAAAATAAAAAGTCGTGGGCGTGGAAAGTATATGTTAACTTGTTGTTGTTTGAGACATATATGGTCAAACTTAATAACATTAGTCGTGCACTAAAAGATATTTTCCTTAACTTTTGTTATGACAAAAATTAAAAGAGTTCTTACTAAGTTTGTTAGCTGATAAATAACGTCATTTCCTATCCAGAAGTCTCCAGAATTTGAGCCAAATCCGTTTTTATAATCGTTCCAAGTTCTTGTAAAGCTCACATCACCTTTGATACGTCTCTGTAAGAGATAACGACAATGCTAAAATAAAGTTTAAGCAAGTTGATTTTATTATTTCCGAAGATTAATTATGTTTTAATTTACGCAAGTGCTAATATAAATGAAAATATTTAAGAAATTAAAACGCTTCTGAAAAATAACGGCATTGAAAAAACTACGGTAAAATAAGTTCATTTGATTTATTTTATGGCTTAATTATCTTTAAAATGTATTATGTTATATTTTACAACAAATAATTTACATACAATCAAAGCAGGCGTTACTTTATAAGACCTAATATTCTTCACATGAACTCTCTAAATATTTCCAATGCTTTGTGTATTAGACAGTCAAACTATCACGAGATAAAACACTTACTTTAACGTTTGATTCTCTTCAAACTTGAAATCAAATAAATCCTCAATTTTATTAATACAACACAACAAATATTCAAAATAAAATTAATGTACACATAACATTATCATTGTTTATAACAAACTATGAATGTATCTATTTTATTTAAAAATCCCTACTTTTATCAAGAACAAGAAAATAAACAAGACTACGAATCACCTTCTCACCAATAGCCACCAAAACACTGATTTATGTTAAAAACACTGCTGTTGACTTGTCACCTGACTTTAGGTCAACCAATTAGAATACTTTCCAACGGTCTGCTAGAACTATAACAAAACTAGAGATAATATCTTTTGATGTCCATATAACCTTTTAGAGTCATCGTAATTTCAAATAGACAAATACTGCGTATGTCGTTCAACTATTAGAATTTTTTTCTTTAGATCGCATCTAGGTGTCAATATTGTGTATCATACGTGTTTTTAATTGAACAAATACATCAAAACTGTTGGTATAAAATATCGGGAAAAAAACAACTTAGTAAATGGCTAAGAATAATCTAAATGAAAAAAAAACCTGAATAATTATCCACCCTCCACCGTCAGTCTTGGTATCACACACTGCTCTGTTGGCATCTACTCCAGCCTTTGTCATGTCCGCTAAAACAAGATTGTTCATGCCGGCAGGTCTTGCGCTACCTATAAGGCGAACTATGCTGTCGCCTAGGGCGCAATCCGTAGAGGGGCGCTAAAATGGGTAATCGCTATTATTAAAAAGTACCTAATAAATAATAACTTTAATTATATAAATAAATAAATAAATAAATAAATAAATAAATAAATAAATAAATAAATAAATAAATAAATAAATAAATAAATAAATAAATAAATAAATAAATAAATAAATAAATAAATAAATAAATAAATAAATAAATAAATAAATAAATAAATAAATAAATATATATATATATATATATATATATATATATATATATATATATTATATATATATATATATATATATATATATATATATATATATATATAAAGCAATGTATGTCTGTCTGTTTGTCCTTTATCCATTACTACACCTCTCATCACATCGCCGTGAAACTTTGGGAAGTTGTTGAGAATATTTCTGGGGAGGTTTCTGCGAAAAAAAAATATTTCAAATTCGCAGGGGTGGCGCCCCGGCAGGGCGCGATTTGTTTTTCTCTATATACGGTATATTAAAAAATGTCGATTTTGTTTTTTGACACCACTCCGCTGATCGCTATCAAACTTTGGTGAATTCATTAGAACACTTTAAGGAAGGGTTCTGTAAAAAATCATTTTTAACTTTACAAGGGCGGCGCCACGGGAGGGTGCGATTTTTCTTTATATACTGTATATAAAAATAATAAAACTGAATTGCCGTGACACCGTTTACACAATCGGCATGAAACTTTGGGAAGATGTTGAGAATATTCCTGGGGAGGTTTCTGCGCTAAAAACATTTTTGAATTTGCAGGGGTGGTGCCCTGGCAGGGCGCAATTTGTTTTTACTCTATATACGGTTTATAAAAATAAAAGTCTATTTCGGTTTCACACCGTTCATCCGTGTACCATGAAACTTTGGGGAGATGATTAGATCACTCAATAGTAGGGTTCTGCAAAAAAAAATTTTTTTTAATATTGCAAGGGCTGTGCCCCCGGGGGGACGTTTTTTTTTCTCTATAAACGGTATATAAAAAAATAAAACTCGGATGCGGTTCATCCGAGTGCCATGAAACTTTAGGGAGTAGATGAGAATACTCCCGAGAATATTTCTGCAAAAAAGAAAGCTACAGTTTCTTATGGGAGGCGCCATGTAGGGTACAATTTCCGTCATTATGCGGTTTGGCGCCCAAAGTTTTAGAGCGACTATTTTGGCACTTGGCATCCGTTAATCGTGCGTCCTGCATAGCGAGTAAGGGGTACTACTATATTCAGGAGTAAAACTACAACAGGCTTCTAAAAATAACTTTGTAACGCGAGGAAGTCCTTCGTTACAGTTTCGTCACCTTGCAAAAGATGAAAAAAAAAATAACTTTTTGAATATGAGGAGCCTACTGTAGAGTTTCGTCACTTTGCGAATGATGCAATAAGCATCTATTATTAGACAATCCAGTCAGAAATTGAGATCGAGCATCTAATAATAGAGTATTAGTAACGCTAGCATATTGCATCAGTCACACTGATATTTAAAACACGTCAAATAATTTTTTTACGTGTTAAAGAAAAAAACCCTGTTCATTTGTGTTACTTTAGCGAATGAAGAACTCTGCATCATTGTTAACAGGATGCTATTTGGCCGATGGCGCCTGTTAGTTTTAAAGAGCCAGGGACCGCACGCTGCGCCTATGCGGTAGTGTAATCGGGGGGTGGGGGACTTGAGAGCGCCCCTCTACGCCCCTGACACATGGATGGTCACCGAAGTGTGTTCTACCTCATTATTTCGGTGAGTGATTAATGTACACTCAAGGTTTCCTTGCGGTAGTGAATGAAAACCCGTTTCCCGATTATTTCTCAAGCGCAGGCATTGTTTAAATTTAACTAACACAGTTTTAGAAAACAAAGTCACGCGTCTAAGAACATTGGATTGGTAATGCATTGGTGATATCGTTCTAATATATTTCGACAGACTTTCTTCTATCCCCGCGGCAACGCGCTGGGGACGGGTACGCTAGTATTATATAAACTAAAAAGTAATCTTCAAAAGCGTAGCAATCTATTTCAATGCCCAGGACAAACTATCAATTTAGCGCCACCTCTTCAAATTAAGCCTATATTTAGATATTTGAGTTGGTGAAAATGCCTCCCCCCCCACCTCCCACATTTAGAAAGGTCGGAATACTTTTTACAATTTAATTTGAACTTTTTCTTTTCGGTGCTATACCGTTGATGTACAAAACAATTAAATAAGTCCGTAATGCTAAGTAGCAGTCTATATTCGTTATTTCGACTCTGTATATAATTCAGTAATGAGCTTTTTATTTTATTATCTACCACGTTTGTCGTCGCTTTTGGGTCGGTGTCTGTGGCTGCCACCCTATCCGCCCTCCCCAAGCTCTGGTAATATAATGAGATAATTATTGTATTTTCTCTAAATCTTTTAATGATAATCTAATTCAATGTTGATTTAGTGATTGCTCTAACGCTTGACGCAACACGTGAAGTTTTAATTTTTAATAGGGCTTGTACAAAATGTAAGTCTTGTTTTATGTCACTTAGAAATTCATAATTTTTAGCGGATATAAATGAGATATTTTAAAACTGAATTATTTCAGTGCAGAAATGAATTTCAACATTATTTCATGAAAATGGTTAAATGGTTTAATTTAAAATGTACAGTGTACTTAATATATATATATATATATATATATATATATATATATATATATATATATATATATATATATATATATATATATATATATATATATATATATATATATATATATATATATATATATATATATATATATATATATATATATATATATATAATTTTGGGATTTATATAAATATATCCTCCTAACGCCGACTGTCGCGTTTTCGCGACATACCGATTCAGCGCATAGCAAATGCGCATATGTACATTTATCCTACTGCTGCCAGTCGTTGTGTATTGGATACATCCAGACGGTTGTTCGGTACCAACAGTCACGTTGTCAAGTCGAAATTTATGACGTCACACTCTCTTGACTCACGCGCATCGTAAATTTTTGACTTTGTGAATTCAGCCTACTTGCATTGATTAGTATTACTAAACGAGATAAATGGCCCATTGAGGAAGGATACAATGGGCGCTAGGTTGATAGTGTTGACCCTCCCACCACCCACCGCGAAGCAAGTCCCCTTCAACGAAATATAACGTATATAGAAAATATATACTTTTACCAAGGTCCAAACCCTCCCAAAATTTTTAGTCCACCCCCACCCCTGAATATTTAAAGTACACTCCCCCTTCCGGGGAGGAAAAAAGTCTGACAGAAACGCATTTGTAGATCATACAAACTAAAGGTAGAGTCAACTTTAATAATATAGACCGGTTTCCTACTTTTGGCCGGTAAATCACACTTACGCAGTGGTTTGTTTTTAGATATTTTTTGCGGGGGTAGGGCGCTTGAATTTTTTAGGGGCAAATAAAATTTCCCGGAGCTACTTTTGGCCGACACTGGAAAAGGTATATACTTTCTATATACTATATATGTCGTTTGGAGTGGGTGTGTTAAACGTTCTACCCGGGGGGAGGTGGAGGGGGAGGGGGTAGGGGCTTTGCCCCTATTCGAAAAGATGCATGACAGAAACTCTGCAGGCAAACCACTTCTAAGATTAGACACATGAATTATGCCGTAATGTCAGTGTTTTTATTAAAGAGTATCGATAACGTCATTTCTTTTGAGAGGTGTGGCGGCTTAGACGTACTTACGGGGGGAGGGAGCTTTGCCCCTACCGGAAGAATTGTATGAAAGAAACTCTTCACGCAAACCACTTTTAAGATTACACAAAATTGGCTTTTTAATTCAATGTTTACTCGAGAATTAATGACGTCATATTATTGTGTGCATTCTCCCGGCTTTCGACTCCTTCCTACTATATGCTCCATGTGACCTCATGTTTCGTTTTCGTTTTACTATGAAAGTTTTTATTTTGCTTGTGTTTTCTCTACACCGTTTTTGTCAGATAGATAGATAGATAGATACACAGATATATAGATAGATAGACAGCGAAACTGTTATTATAGATAGGTGATCCGTTTTTGCTACAAAAAATACTAACATCTTTATCATTCAATCTTTTATGTATATAAGCAGTATAAATCACATATGACAATATTTTGGAAGCTATCTGCTAATTACGATTTGTCGCGTTTTCGCGACATCCGGCAATAAGACATAAAATTGTACTTGGGTGTCAAGCAGCAGTGGCGTAGCTAGGATTTTTGGGCCCCTAAAATTATCAGTGGGCCCCCTTCGTCAGCCTTTAGGCTACAATGAAGTTAAACGAAGAAATCAATGGAGAATTTCAAAAAGAATATAAATATTCTGTACATTTTAAATTGTATATGTCCGGATTAAATATTTTCAATTTAAATAAATGATTGATTACTGTTAAATAGACTTTTAAGAACAAATATGACAAATTCCAACAGGGGCGGGGAAGGTAGAGGGAGTGGAAGTGAGGGGGGGGGGGTGACACTAGGAGGCAAACCTGCTACTTCCAGGTGTATTAATTACCGACTATAGATAAATATCGTTATTATAATCGTAATTATAATCTGAGCACTGTTTAAAGCTGTCAAGGTGAGGGTGGGGATTGAGGGTTGGGGGGGGGGTATATCAACAACACATTGCAAATTTTGACTGAAAAAAAGGTTTTTTTAATGAGTCGTAATTACTTATATTTCAATAATGGTCTGGGATGAGGGGGGGGGGGGTGACACCATGTCGCTAACCTGCTACTTTAGCTGTATTAATAACCGACTATAGATAAACATTGTTTTTATAATGTTAGCACTGTTTAAAGCTTTCAAGGGGGAGGGGGGTATATCAACAACACATTGCAAAATTTGACTGAAAAAAGATTTTTGTTAATAGTCGTAATTACTTATATGACAATCAACATCTGGGATGAGGTGGTGACAACTAATTTTATCTAATTTTATAATTTAATACAAAACAATGCTTTTTGGAATTGTATTATAACTGCTATAATTATAACATAATTTTTGCATGAATTGACACCATTCTACCAAATATTATTACGGGGGTGACACCAAACACAACGTCCACCAATTCGGATTAGTGTAAAATCCCATTGGAAATTTAGAAGTCTGCATATCATTCGATCAAGCAAATTATTATACAAAATATACGAGTGTGTAAATAAATGTATGTATACGTGTGTGTGTGTGTGTGTTTTAGCCATATATAACACATCTTTTTAGTAGAATAGAAAAATAAACCATTAAACATATCACAAATCATGGAAAAATGTTAACGTAAACAAACTTGAGTTTTAGTAGAATACTAGCCGTTGATACCCGTTACACGTGAATTATAGGTGTATATATTTTTAATGGTGTACATTTTTTGAATAGTATTTTATAAAATAGTTATTGGTCAAAACGCAATGTGTTTTACTACAGGTTTAACGTTATTAGTGACAAAGCAAAGAAATAACTAAATAGCTAAAAATTCCAAGACATTTAAAATAACAAAGGCTACTAATACCTATTACAAAAAATAAAACCAAATTATATACATAATTAGTCAACACAACACCATATAAAATGCACACATTGATTAAAAGACTTAAATGATTCCGCTAAAAGCCTATCTTTTTAATGGTATTTATGTTGTTTTTTATTAATTTTTTGTATTAGTTTTGGCCGAAGTTTTTGTCTATATTTCATAGCTTGCGTCTTGATAAGTAGATCTGTAGATCTAAATCAAATTTCAAAGAAATAGTTCATTTTTTCGTATTTTTAAATTGCAAGATAACGCCATTGGTTTTGTGTATTTCCCGTACTTCAAACATTTGATATGTGACGTCATCGATTTCAGCGTTCTTGTCACAACTATAAACACTTTATACTTTGCACAATTAAAACTGTTTTTCTACATTAGAAGCTTATATTTTTATTTTTATTCTTTAAATAAAATTGTGTTTATACATTTAAAACATCTACCATATTATTTTCAACACAAGTCCGTATCAAAATCTCCATATATCGCTGAAGGAACTGATATGATAGCCTGTGAAAATATTTTTGCGGACAGAGAGAGAGAGAGAGAGAGAGAGAGAGAGAGAGAGAGAGAGAGAGAGAGAGAGAGAGAGAGAGAGAGAGAGAGAGAAGTGTGCACATGGGCTTTATATATTAGGATACATTTAAATGTGATTGTTACAAAACAACACAACATTTAAAATGTATTAATAAACTGTAAATACATTCATTTTTAATAAAAGAGACGAAAATGTACACAATAAGCAATAAAAAGAGAGCAACAGATAAATAGAACTGGTTGGCTTGCCATATTGACAAATGTTGGTGGTATTGTCGGCCTGAAAGAGTACCAAACGTTTAGAAACAATTAATTCACGCCTTAGGTCAGTTTGATCTTCATAGTTTGTATATTTTATGCTTTGGTATTATACTAAATTTTAAGAATGTTATTACAAATGTATTATACCCATTAAATGTAATAAGCGTCATGCGGATTCAAGCGTTGTAAACTAGTATTTGGTCACTATGTTAATCCTTTTCATATCCATTAACATTTTAAGGACAAAGTTCAGTCAAAAGTGCGTAGCTTTGCAATTACTTTTTATGTTTGTCTTTTGTGACAAAGAAACATAATATTTATGACAAATTAATTAAAAATGAAATACCTTGTTAATCGTGTCCTCTCTTTTTTGCATGTCTTGAGGTTTTATTTTGTCATCGTCGTGTTGACCTGTGCCAAAAATGTTTAAATCAAATTTCAATTTAAATTATCTTTGGAGTCCCTTGTGTCAGAATGTTATCGCAGTTGTTTTTTCGAATGCTTAGGGTACGATTTTGATAAACAATTATTATTTTAATTTTCATAGAGATTATCTGCTTTAGATACCGCAACAGTTTAAGGGATTGTGTGGTTAGTACTGAGTCGTGCCGCCTCAAATGAGTTCGAAACCTGTATTAAACTTAATTTTTACACGTGTAAATGTATTCATACCTCACTCCAATCTTAATGGTGTATTAAAACTTAGAAAGTGAATAATCAACCCACGTTAATTTATATTACAAGTATGCAATATCCGTGTTGATAAATTGGACGTTGTTCACGATCAATTACTTATTACGTTTTTTATTTGAAAAAAGAGTATTGGTGCAAGTTTCTAGTGAATCGGAAATTATTAGTCCATAGTAGTTTAAAATAGTCACCTGCTAAGAGACTTTGACATTAATTATACCGTATATAAGCGGATGTAAACGACAAGTAAAATTCCCATAAAGAAATTCGATCCATCGATAAAAACGAAAGTAAAGCAATCGCCAACACCTCTTTGTTTTAAAATAAAAACAAATTAATGACAGTAAATGTAGCAACGTAAAGTTTATAACCTTACCAGAACACAGAAAAAAGTTGAGAGCAAACACTAGAACAAAAGCTAGAGCAGACATTTTCAGAGTCCCCATGGTTGTAGTCACACAGAACTGAGAATAATGACGTTGTTATCGCTAGGCGTTGTCGTTATATAATACTGTTCGATTTTTATGTTCTGTCTATATGCGGGTCTCATCTGGCCTAAGATTTTAATTTCAAACGAGCCGGCCCGCGGTATAACATACGCCGCTATTTAGTTGTTGTTTTTTCTACTTTTCAGTAATTCATAATTTGTGAATTTGACGGTACCAGCGCTGCCACTGAAATTATTTCTTTAAAACACTATAAGTAGCACGTTAAGGACCATAACCCCCCCCCCCACCCTTTCTGTCCCCCCCCCCCCCTCCCCCTACGTTTAAAATCGTTTCTACCTCAATTATCTGCCCCTAATAGTCGTCACTAAACCCGGTTCTGTTTGTAAACATTTAGAGTGAACACAGCTCACTAAGACCATGTAGGGGTGGGGGTGGTAGGGAGCGCGTTTACAGCTTGTTTTCTAGCGTCTCCCAGAAGAGAATTATATATATAGATACGCGTTGCTTATAACTTGTTACTAATTATTTTAACCCTTTCAGTTCCACAAGGTCTGTTAACACATTTAGAAGTCAACTGACACGTAGATTTTAAAATGGTTAACGTTTTCCCGATATCTTTAATAGTTTATTAGATACACCGTAGGACGTTAGTGGACAATTATCGAACATGGGTTGCGTTGTGAGTTAGATCAATGTGTTAATTCCAAAAGTGATGGAAAGTTTATGGTTGTACTGGTACATTAGAATTTTTAATTATAAGAAATTATAACACGTGTGTTGTTTATGAGTGTATCGTTATCTTTATAAAAGCAATTATGTGATGTTAACAAATATTCATTCTGTTTTCTTGTACATTGTGCATAACTCGCGTTTTTTTTTTACTTTGATTTATCAACTCGTGTTCACCTTGTGGGATTGTAGTGAACTTCTTGCAACTACGACCATGGATTGAGTGTTATTTTTTATTTTTGTAATCACAAAGAGATAAATTACAGGTAGTTACTTAAGTGTTTATTGTTGAGATATTAAATTTTTCATAATTGTTTTGCTGTTGTTGTTTTTTTTCTGTTTTGTTTTTTATTTATTTTTTTGCTTTCAACATACATGTCTCTATATGACTATTTGATGAGGGGATTGAGACAGTACAGGACGGTACAGGACAGTGCAGGGTTAGACTACAACGAGAGCGGACATTCCGGGTGAGTTGGGATGTCTGTAGACTTAGAATAGAACTGACCGGTAAAGACAAGTTGGGTAGTCACTTTAAAATAAGTTTTATTTCCGTTGTAGACAAGTAGTATTTTACTCATTGTTGGCGGTTTGATGTTAAGTGTTGTACAGTTACTCAAAAGACACGGACATACCGGCTGAGGAGTTGGTCTCTCCCATTAGCCAGGTAGGCCTAGACGTAGCGAACACCAACTAACGGGCAAATATGTGGACTTTAGACAGTCTCACGAAAAAGTTGGCTTGATACGTTACATATTTTTCGCTTTTTTATCCGTCGGTTCTCACCGGGCTTGCATTCTTCACCCCCCCCTACCTGGCTCGGGACGTCGTAGTACCGCCTGGTACGCAGCTTGATCGTAGGGGCATTCGGTCGTTTTAAAAACTAGCTCGGGGTACGTGTTCGCTTTGACGAATGGTTTTGATCGTGCCAGGGGACCAAACCCCCAGTCGGTAATACCGATTCAACCGCCTGTAATCTCTGAGGCGGGGTGTGGCTTTGGTTCTCAGGCATCGCACTTAACGCGCCCCTTGACTGCAAGACAAGGATCTGTACCTTGTCTGGCAACCACTTTGACTCTCGGGCGCTGCGTCTCGGTGAGTGGCCCCGATGACCAGGTCGCAAGCAAAGATCATCTAAAAACCGCGCGGGGTGTAATGTGGGGGCCTCTAGCCAAAGACAGACGTCGGCTTTTACGGTCAGGATTGTTTATGTGCTTCAACGGGTGAGTCGTAGCTATGGGCGCCTTTCTGTAACACGCCGAATAGCACGTTTAATACACATGGGAGGGGGTGTCATTTGCCTCGAGCTGTCACTGCTGTGACGTTTTGACCCTACTTGGCCAAGCGGTTTAGTGGCTATAGTTCCTGCCACCCTCTCGCGTACCTACATGGTCATCGGCAGTGGGGTCAGGTTGGTTCTGGGTGGGACTCGGTTCATCCAAAGACTTTTTTAGGACTCCAGCTTCTCGTACGAAGGTGCACACGTTCTAAATTAATCCCAGATCTGTATACAAGCTTTTTTCCACATGGCAGATCCCATCTATGTGCTCCTGTTACTAAGTGTGCTTATTCCTTATTATTCTTGATCTTGTTAACCAACCCCGGTCCAATAGTAAAGGACCTAGTGGTCGGGCCGTAATAACAATAGAACAAAAGCATATTTATAATTATTTCCCGCATGCCTTTGCAACACTGTTAGACGCTTAGACTAAGAGATTAAATGAAACAAATTGTTAGCAAGCATTAGCTTAGCTTTTGAAGGATCACCCACAGTCGTGTATTGATTGCTAGGAATAGAGAACGGTGTAACCGGAGGGGGTGGGGGTGGAGGGGGCGAAATAACTTTTTAAAAAGCTCACAGAAAATTGCAGGAAGGGACCACGTAGCCTAGCTGTAGAGAGTCAGACTGCTAACCCCAGAGTCTCGAGTTCGAATCCATATTCCCCGCACCTGTCTTACATTCTCAACTACATAAAGACATTTAAACTGTGTTTCATATCACGCCATTTTCTGTCCAGAGTGTGAATCACTGAAAAGCCATGAAAAATAACATTTATTTGTGATTTAAAGCCCATACTAAGTAGATCACGAGTTTGAAGGACATATACTGTTTTAGAGGTTTAAATATTTAGCATATGATTGAAATAAATGTAAAATAAATACAGGTAATAGAGAATGTTGAAAAAGTTGGAACCTTTGTATGTATTGCTTTTATCGTTTTGTTTACAAGATTTACTCATTTATTTCAACACAATTGTAGATTATACTTATACACAAACTGGTTTAACAGAAATATGTGTATTAACAAATTATGATAGCTGTCGTCTATCTGTAGTTTTAAACATTTACAGCTGTTTTTTAACGATTTTGGTTTAGGAAAAACTAGTATTGCCAGCAGTTCTTCTTCTCCTTTCTTAATTTTTAGTGTAGGAATGGATCGAGCCTAATCTTCCAGAGGGTTTGAACTCGAAACTTTTTTCGAATGTATCAACTATGAGCTTTGCCGACTCGACCTTGCTTCCATCACAATTAAGCGTTATGTGTCAACTGGTTATGCGCCATTTAGGCCATTGACTCCGATTTCAGCCTGTTTTTCTTTTTGGATATGATTCCACAGCCTTTGTCCAACCAAGAACAAACTACAAAGCAGCAGCTGTTTGATTTTGGAGTTGTCTCTCCTAGAAGAGTGGCTGTCCCCTGCTAACGAGCCTTATCTGCCCGAGGGTTCGACCACGCCGACTCCCTTGCCAGCAGTGATGATTGGCGTAATCGAACACATTTGAGTTGGTTTTATTAAATTTGTGACAGCTGTTGTATAAGAGTTAATCAAGAGTTAATTAAGCAAAGTTGTGGTTACATCGATACTTAAATTTCAAAATACGTGTCTCGGGCAGCCAAAAACAATCGACTTAAGTTGGTAGGATGAAATTGGAGTGGGGGTAGTATTGCTGAGGAAACATTATATCCCAGCACAGTTGAAAATAGTATCTAAGTGGTCCATGGATGTACATAATAACGTGCAAAAAATTTTATTCCTAAAGTAAATACAATTTTAATTAGTATAATCCCGTTAAAAGAAAAGACTATTACATACTATGATGCCTCAACTCATCTGGAATTCTTCGCTTGTTTTAGAAACATAGTTTTAAAGAAAATAATTAGTAGCTATTAAAACAAATGTAATGATTTCGAGGGCAAGAACACTAGTTTAGTGATGTAAGTAATTGATTCAACTTAGTTAACGATTATCTTAACCAAATCTGGAATAAAAATTAGTGTTAGATTATTTTAATTCTATGATTTGTGGCGAGTTTAAAATATAAATTACACTTATTTAATTTGCTTCTAAATTGTGTATTACTAATAGTTATAAAGGTGTATTTTGTTTTAGGATTAGTAACAACACTAACTGTATGGAATAGAGATTACTATTGTTCGAGAACAAGATTTTAAAATAAACAAAATAAATAGTTATACAGCTTTTAACAATACTAAATTCAATGTATAACAAATATTTAAAACGATTGTTGTACTCCATCAATCTATAAGGGTATTGAATTATTCTATTTCAGGGTAAAGCAATGTTTTTATAACAACATTTTTAAAGGGGAACAGTTGTCAATTTGATGTCAGAAACATTTGAGTACGTATACATAACACATGACTGGTTTCCTTTTCTGACATTTGCTTTTGTATAGAGAACAAATATGAAGTTAGTCGTTTTCTAGATGGGCTGCTTTAACTTTTTGTTCAAACCAAAACTTCTAAAACTAGAATATCATATCTTGCAATGACAAGATATTATGTAAAAACAAAGTAAACTAAACTTTTGTCAGATTACTCAAAGAAAAGAAACAGTGAATTATTATTTTGTAAATTTGGAGATGCCATTTTCGTTTGCTAGGAATAAGTATTTTACATTTTAAGATAGTTTAATTTTAACTTGGAATGAAGATAATGTATTTGAGGCAATAAAACAAATCTGTAGACTCAAAAGTTCAGTGTTAAGTATGTGGGTCAAAGTCTAAGAGGTGAGTGAACGAAGATCTGAGTCATGTGTCAACATGACCTAGTCTTTTTACAAATGAATTCATTAAGTTTCAAGTCACGATGACCTAGTCATTAGATTAGTGGGGATGTGGTGATACAGCTGGGACGGATTAGGCGTCCCCCATAGGCCGACAGGAAAACAATCGACAGGATATTTGGAGCAATATTACATCTATTTTTTAACTAAAGATAAAGGACCTGACTCTTCTCTAACAATAAATTGAAAAATTTGA